AAGCACACGCACCCTATAGCAAAAATCTCTGTAAAAATAGAATAAACTTACACCAGGTTCATACGTGTCCAAAATCCCGAGAAAAGAATGGAGGAGAAGGGATTGGAGTGTGGCCATTTCCCCTGGGGAGTGATTTTTCATTTTCTGTCTCTTTGTCTCTCCAGTAAGCACACATGCCTTATCACAAAAATCTCTCAAAATAGCAATAATAATAATAATTTTCTTCTGAACCCCATGACCTTTCACTGACTGTGCTTCTTATCAAATTTCCAGTTGAACCCAGATTTATCCTTCTAATTCTAGTCCCCACACCCATTCTGTCCTAAAGCTTTTTGTTTTGTCTGTACTTTTTGAAGTTGGTAGTTGACTTTCATAGAATAGGCATGTCCTCTTTTTTTAAAATATTTTTTGAGATTTTTTTAAAAATTATTTTATTTTATTTTATTTGTTATTATTATTTATTTTTCATTTGACCAAGGAGACAGAGTAAAAGAAGGGGAAAGTGAGAAGGCCACCAGATCCAGGACTTGAACCACAGTCGGTCATGTGGGAGTCTAGCACTTTAACCACCATGCAACCTGCTGGGCCCCCATCAAGAGATTTTTTTTTATGTTTTTTTTTGAGAGGCTTTTGCTATAAGATGTGTTCACTCACCGGAGAGACAGAGAACCAGAAGAAAGCAAAAAATCACCTCCCCCGCCCCAGGGAGGATAGCCATGTTGTATTCCCTTCTCCATTTTCCTCCAGGGATTTTGGGCAAGCACGCACACACACCTGGCATGAGTTTCAAATCGCCAGATCTGGGATTCAAACCATGGTCGATCACATGGATGTCCAGCACCTTAACTATTACACTGCCTGCAGGCCCCCCAAATTTTGAATTATTTTGTTTTAATTACCAGAGGGCATATGCACTTACCGGAGAGAGACAGAGAGAAGGAGAGGGGGGGACAGAAAGCACATTCCCCGAGAACAGGGCATGGTCATGCTAAAATCCCTTTTCCGTTTCTCCATCCCGTTAAGATTTTTATATGCATAAACGTGCATTCAGGGTGTTTTTCAAGCTGTCGGGGCTGGGATTTGGACTGCAGTTGGTCATTTGAGATGTGATTCCCTTAACCAGCATGCCATATAGATGTGGTTTGATGATAACGGTGATGACAATGACAATAATGTTGGTGACAACCTTACCTCTATGACTGCTTTCTAACTCTGGATCTATTTGGGTCAGTGTACCTAATTTTCCAACTAGTGTCGCCAGTTCTTTGTGAAGTCACTCAGGTAGCTTGTTAAAAATGCAGATTCCTGGACCAGCAGGTGGCATGGTGGTAAAGGTGCTGGATTCCCACATGGCTCCTGGCAGCTTGAAAATCACACTAGGTGCGTGTGCATTTATGTCCAAAATCCTGAGGGAGAACAGAAGAGAAGGGATTGCAGTATGGCTACCCACCCCCCAGGGGGTGGGGGAGGATTTCTTGCTTTCCCTCTTACTGTCTCTCTCTCTGTCTCTCTTAGGTGAGCACACACACCCTATGGCAAAAACCTTGGGACCAGCAGTTAGCGTAATGGCTATGTCGTTGGACTCCCATGTAGTTGACCGCGGTTTGCGTCCCGGAACCGGTGGCTTAAAACTCACGCCGTTTCTGTCTGGCTGGCGAGTGCACGTGCCCTATAGCGAAAAACCTCTCCAAAAAAAAAAAAAAAATACCTTAAATATGCAGATTCCTTGGCCCTTCCCCCAGAGCCTGAATCTCTAAAGTAGGATGCCTGCAACCTGTGTGCTTTTTAACCTCCACCATCCTCCTAGTGATTCGGACTCTGTTAGTACAGGAGCATAATCACTTATTTAAAACTTTAAAAATGAAGGACGGGACAACCCCGTAGTGTAATGGTTATGCACTGTGCATTAGGAGCCAGATCCCATATGGCCAACCACGGTTGAAAAACATGCCTGGTGCATGCACGTACATGCCCAAAATCCTTATGGAAAGGAGAAGATGGAAGAAAAAGGATTACAGCGTGACCATGACCTGTTGGAGGGGTTTGCTTTCTTTTTCTTCTCTCTTGAGGATATGCAGCCTTTGGCAATTGAAAAAAGTCTTGGGACCAGCGGATGGCGTAATGCCTGTGTGGCTGGACTCCCATGTAGTCGACCGCGGTTCAAGTCCCAGACCCGGTGGCTTAAACTCATGTCGGACACGTGTGCATGTGTGCCCAAGATCCTGAGAAGAGAATGGAGAAGAAGGGATTGTGGCGTGGCCATCCCTCCTGGGGGGTGATTTCTCGCTTTCTGTCTCTGTCACTCTCTCTCTGGTGAGAGCATGTGCTCTGTAGTAAAAACCTCCCGCACTTGCGGGACCAGCAGATGGCACAGCGGTTATGTCACTGGACTCCCAAATGGCCGGGCATGATTTGAGTCCTGGACTCTGTGGCTTGCAAATCATGTCAGGGACATGCGCATGCGTGCCTAAGATCCCAGGAGGAGAATGGAAGAGAAGGGACTGTGGCTTGGCCTTCCTTCATGGGGATTGATTTCTCACTTCTCCCCTCACCGTGACTGTTTCTCTCACTGTCTCCATTGAGTACATGTGCCCTAAGGCAAAAACCTCTTTTAAAAAAAAGTCCAGTGACATAGCCATTACCCCAACAGCTGGTCCCAACACTTCTTTTTTTCATTTCCATAAGCAACAGAGATAGAAAGAGAAAGTGATTATCCTCCCAACAGGGTCCCAATGCCATGATCTATCCCCAGCCCCCGCCAGCCCTAGGTCATGAGCATGTACTGCCCAACATATTTTGGGAGGTCTCTGGACTTGAACTGGGAACCTTCCAATGTGGGATTGCCTCGCAGTGTTGCATTTTACCAAGGCATCACCATCTGGCCCCTTGCAGGCACTTTTTTAAGCAATGGTCTCACTTCAGGTGCTTTCATGCAAATTAGAAAAAGGCACCCCTTCTGAAGGCTGGCAACACTTAGGTCCCTTCCCAGGCCACACAGCAGGTTATGGTGAGTTCAGAGTCCACGATGAATGACTGTGCTGTGTAGCACGCACTGCACAGAGTTGTAGGCAGTATTAACCAGGACAGTCCTCATTAAGGACTCGGTGCAGTGCCTGACAGGTAGCAAATACCCAATGAGGCATATGTGCTCTAGCCTCTAGTCTGTCATGTGTTTCAAATATTTTTCCAGTTTTGTCATTTGATTTTGCTTGTTGTGTTTGCCAAACAATAACTTTTTTTAAAAGATTCACTTATGTCATTGTATTTATTATTATTATTATTTTAATTTACTGCAGGGCACATTTATCCCCCTAGAGAGAGAGAGAGAGACAGAAAATGAGAAAGCAAGCCGCCAGGTTCAGGACTTGAACCGCAGTCAGCCATGTGGGAGTCCAGTGCTTTAATCAACACACCACCTGCTGGCCACTCTTATACTATTTTTACATGATCACATTTTTAATCTTTTCCATTGTGACTTTTGTTTTGGTTGGCATTGTAATGACAAATAATTGAAAAGGATAACCAGTTCTGTGTTAATTAAGGAACTGGCTAACTTAGACTGTAACAGACAAGAGGACAGTGAATGTCTCATCAAACAGTCCAGACGAGGGTGGTAGCTCTGCTCCACAAGGCTCTCAGGAACCCAGGCAGCGTTCCTCTCACCGCCTAACCTCAACTCCATCACAGAAGCTGGCTCTCTAGTGCCTCATGTGTGCCTGCCTATGGCAAAGGGAAGGGAAAGGGAGCAGGAAATAACCAATTCCCCTAGAAAAAGAAGCATGAATTTCTACTTACGTTTCATGGAAACTTGGTCACATGGTCCCACCTGGTTGCAAAGTTGGGAAGTGTAACCTCTAGCAGGGTGACTGTGCCTTGCTGAGCGAGGGGTACGGACAGGGCCATGGCTCTCATACTGAAAGAAAGAAGCTGAGAATCCCGGGATACAATGGACAGTCAGTACCACATTGCCCCCCACCTTTGTGGGGAAACTCCTCCCTTCCTGGACACACTATTAGATCATTTTTTTTCAAATGCAAAAATTGCAATTCTTTTAGATGTAGTTTTTGTTTTCCCAAGCTCTAATTATAAGAAATAACTCAGGGTTAGAAAATGAAAAGAAGGGCCAGCTGGTAGCATCGTGATTTAGGGAACTGGATCCCATGTGGTCAACTGTGTTGTTCTAGTCCCAGACCAGTAGCTTGAAAAACATGCTGGGTGTGTGTGGGTGCATGCCCCAAATCCTGAAAGGAGGGCGAAGTAGAGTAGAAGGGTTTGAGATGTGACCATCTCCCAGAGAGAATAGTTTCTCACTTTCTTTCTCTCTCTCTATCCGGGCACAAGCCCTCTAGCAAAAAAAAAAAAAAAAAAAAAAACAATTGGGGGAGATATTTTTGAGATAGGGTTTGTGCTTGCCTGAGAGATAGACAGAGTGAAAAATCACATCCGGGCACAAGCCCTCTAGCAAAAAAAAAAACAAAAAACAATTGGGGGAGATATTTTTGCTATAGGGTTTGTGCTTGCCTGAGAAATAGAGTGAAAACTCATGTGGGGCGGGGGAGACCACACTTCAGTCCTTTCTCCTCCATTCTCCTCTTGGGATTTTGGGCACACACACATGCACCTGGCATGAGTTTCAACCCTCCAGGTCTGGGACTCAAATCGTGGTCCACCACATAGGAGTCCAGCACCACGGCGCTGCCACCTGCTGGTACCTCTCTAGCAAAATTTTAAAAAGAGAGAGAGAGGAAAAGAGGAAGGAAGAGAGTGAGAAAGAAAGAAAGGGGGGAAAAAAGAAGGAAAAAGAAAAGACAATTAATACTTTTTATCCCTTGAGGGTCTTGGCAAATCCCCCTTCCTTGGCCTAGACCACCTTGCCTGCCTTTCAGTCGGTTCATTGCTGCTGTTCCTCAGGTCCCTCTGACAGCCCTCTCCTCAGGAAGGAGCCTAGCCCAGCCCTCCTTCCCTCTAGAGCACCTGGGGCTCCTCCGCAAAGACCTTACATTATCCTTATCCTCTGGGACATCGGCCTGCCTCTCTCTGTTGATGCCTGCTGGGCGGCCCTGCACTGTGGGCTTCTGGGGTGCTCGATAAATGCTTTGTTGGTGAGTGAATGAAGGTTGATGGAAGAAGACAGAGGAGCTGAGAGAATGAAGGAAGGTGAGAGAAAGAAGCTGGTATTTTAGGATGCTGTAGGGGGCCAGGCCCTTTCCCCAGTGGGGAGAGACTGGCAGATCCAAGTCAGGCTTGGAAGCCGAGGAGCCCTGCACCCCAATGCCATCCACAGCCAGAGCTGAGAGGGTGGAACCTCTTATAGAGCAGGGAGTGCGGATGAGAAATGCAGCCCTTCGTGGTTCCAGGGTGGAGACCTCCGTCCTTGTAGAAGAGGCATGGACACTTAATGAATGCCGAATTAAGGAACTGTTACATATTGGAATTTTTCTAGACTTTCACATGAAATAAAATGACCAGTTCCATGATTTCATTCATTTTTCTGGAATGAAACTAAAGCCTCTGCCAGCGACAGATTTAGACAATTTGCTATTTAATCTAAAAGTGACATTGCCATTTGAGAAAACTCTAGATTACATGTGGAGGTAAGGGGGCAACAGGTGGTGTAGTAGTTAAGGCACTGGACTCCTACATGGCTAACCATGGTTCAAGTCCTGGATCTCGAAAATCACATCAGTAGGTTTGAAAATTATATTGGGCCTGCAAGCCTAAAACCCTGGGAGGAGAATGGAGGAGCAGAATAGAGAAGAGATTACAGCTGACTATCCCCCCTGAGGGTGGTAATTTCTCACTTTCCCTCTGATTGTCTCTGACTCTCTTTAGTAAGTGCATGTACCCTAAGGCAAAAAACTTAAAAAAAAAAAAAAAAAGAAGAGGTGGTGGTAAGATAAAGGTAATTAGGATGCCGTCATTCCCCTGTTGCCAATGCACTTTTTCATACTGTGATTGTCATTTGATAGTATTCTAATTAGTAAGGTATAGTACTGTCAAAATGAAACAATTGGCCTGGTTTCCCAGTGGGTAAGGGAGCTAGATCCCACATGGCTGACTGTGGTTCAAATCCCAACCCCAACAGTTTGAAAACCACACTGGGCGTGTATGTGTGTGCTTGCCCCAAATCTCAATAAGATGGAGAAATAGAGGAGAAGGGATTGTGGCATGACCACACCTCACTGGGCTTTCTCCTTCTCCCTTCCTCTCTCTTTCTGGTGAGTGCACCTGCCCTCTGGCAATTAAAAATAAAAGAAAGGAACAGTTGAGGTATCACTTTATTTTATATAGATAAGCGCTACAACATATCTAATGTATCTATTCTATATCTATTATTAACTGATGGAAAACAATTTGCATTTATTCAATTTGGGATATGAAAGCTCTTCACAATGGACTGTCTTTCTGCTTGTTGTTTAAGTTCTCTCCTATAAAATAAGCTCAGCTTCAAAAAGGTGAAAAGGAAAAGAAGGTGAATACATGTGTTAGCAGTTTTCCCAATCCTACCTTTGCCACTGCAAAATCAGTGCACGGTTGGGGTCTTGCAAAAATAAATAGAAGAGCAACATGTGATTCTAAATTTCAACATAGGAACATATCTGCTAGATGTTATTGCTTGAAATTAGTCCGTTTTTATTGTTGAAATTCTCTGTAGAGAACACTACTTGGAGAAGGCTCATTCGAAAACAAGAGAGAGAGAGAGATGGAGGAGGGGGAGAGAGAGAGAGAGAGAAATGAAAAATCGCCCCACAGGGGTCACACCACAACCGTTTCTCTATTCTCCGCTCTGTGTTTTGGGCATGTTCACACATGGGCCCGGCATCTTTCAAGCCACCAGGTCTGGGGATCAAATCATAGCCATGTAGAAGTCCAGCACCTTAAGCACCATGCCACCTGTTGATGAAAAGGAAAGTAAGAAATCACCACCCAGCGGGATGGCCATGCCATAATTCCTTCTGCACGCTTCTCTTGGGATTTCACACACACGTGCACCCAGTGTGATTTTCAAGCCTCCAGGTCTAGTACTCGAGTGAGGTCAACCATGTAGGAGTCCAGCGTCTCAACCACCACGTCACCTGCTGGCCCCTATTTTCTTTCTCTTTCTTCCTTCCTTTCTTTCTTAATTCCTTTAAAAACAAAACAAAACAAAAAAACTTCCAATTATTATTTGGTCACAATTAGCCTGCAATTTTTTTTAATTTTTAATTTTTAATATTATTTTTTACTTATTCACGATAGAACGTGTGTGCACGAGAGAGAGAGGTGAGCACCCTCCACAAGGTCTGGGCATGCCATAGTCCCATCGCCTCAGTCCTCAGCCTATTGAATTGCACACATTTGTCCAGGTGCCTGGCGTGCTTTGGGCTGACTGGGCTGGAGATTTTAATTGTAGTTGCCATGGTGGAATCTAGCTTCTCCTGAACAGCTCATTACCACTAGTCCATGAAATTGGCTTAAGATTTGTAATATTCGAGAAAGCAGGTGGCATGGAGGTTAAGGTGGCTGGATTCCACATAGCCAACTGCACAGTTAAGGGTCCTGAACCTGGTGGCTTGAAAATCACACCAGGTGTGTGTACGTGGGATCCAAAATCCCAAGAAAAGAATGGAAGAGAAGGGATTGTGGCATGGCCATCCCCACTGGGGCTTGTTTTCTTGCTTTCTGTCTTTCTATCTCTCCCGCAAGCTCACACATCCTATAGCAAAAATCTCTAAAATAAAAAGCGAGCACTGGGTGGAGACCAGGAGGACCGAGGCAGAATAGGAACAGCAGCCTCAGATGTGCAGCCCCAGTGACTTTCATGTGAGAGGCCATCTTCCCACTGGCAGCTCCATGGGTTCCCAAGAAACTCAAGTTAGGGGTGAAGGGTGATCTCCCTCTCTAGACTTGAAGGAGGAGTGGAGACAGAGATGAGATTTCCCTCTCACTCTTCACAAGGAGAAGAGGAACTGTGGCCTTAGCCCAGCGCCTTTGTCAGGTGTGTTTTCTCTGTTGTTCCTCAAACGATGAGGGATTAAGAAGGGTTAGGGTGACAATTTTTTTTTTTTTTTATGATTCTTGCTAAACCAGAAGAGATGGTTTTCTTAGAGAGTTGTGGAAAGAAATGCAGATTATTGAGTGCTTCAGGAAACTTGTTTCAAAGCACCTGGAGTATCTGTGTCTAATCCATATATTTTATAATTATTAATTTAATTTTATTTATTCATTTATTTTAATTTGACCAGAGAGAGAGAGAGGGAGAGAAAGTGAGAAAGCAAGCCACCAGGTCTGAGACTCAAACTGTGGTTGACCATATGGGAGTGTCCAGCGCCTTACCCACCATGCCGCCTGCTGGTCCCCCTAATCCATATTTTAAAACAGCTGACTTCTGGGGCCAGTAGGTGGCATGAAAGATAAGGCACTGGACTCCCACGTGGCTGCCTGTGGTTCGAGCCCCGGACCTGACAGCTGGGACATCATGCCAAACATGTGTGCATGTGTGCCCATAATCCTGAGAGGAGAATGGAAGAGAAGAGATTGTAGTATGGCCACCCCCTTGAGGGGATGTGATTTCTCATGATCCCTCTCTGTTTCTGTGTCTCTCTCTGGTAAGCATATATACCCTATGGCAACAATAAATAAATAACAACAACAACAGCAACCAAAAAAAAGCTGACTTCCGCTTTCTGAAACCCAACTCCCCTGCCACTCCCAGCCCCTTCCTTTTCACACCATTACTCCTCGGGCCCTCTCGAAGCCTCGCTTTTCTAGTCTGAGAAATGAGAGGACTCCCACTACCATAGCACTCAGATATATGAAGTCACCTTTATTTTTTTAATTTTTAGATTTTTCTATAGACACATGCACTCACCAGAGAGTGACAGAGAAGGAAAGTGAAAAATCATTCCCCAAGAGGAATGGCCATGCCAAAGTCTCTTCTCCTCCACTTTCCTTCTTTGGATTTTTGGGCATGCGTGTGCATGCATCCGGTGTGTTTTTCAGCTGCCAGGTCCTGGACTCTAACTATGGCCATGTAGGATCCAGTGCTTTAACCACCACCCACCTGCTAGCCCATAGTCACCTTATTTACATGAATGGGGACGTTCTGCTGTTTGCCACCCCAACCAAGGAGTGTCCAGTCATGGGCAGAGTGAGAGGTTCGAAACGATCTGCACCAGGCCTCAAACTGATGAGGCCTACAATTGAGACTGTTTATGCAAACATGGGCCTGAGGCTTCTGGGGCGTTAGAAGACCCATGGTCTCTTTGGCACTGTTACCCTTCAGCACCTGTGCAAATGGTCCTACAGAAATAGAGGAAATCAAATCTTGCTCCTCAGATTGCACCTGGCCGCCTTTCATTAGTGAATGTACTCCTTCCGAGGTCCTGTGAGCTGGATGGAGATGGCTGTATTACACACAGTGTCGTCTTTAATTTAAAAAATAGGCAAGATTAGGGATAGCAGGTGGTGTGATGGTTAGGGTTGCTGACCTTCCTCATGGCCGACCATGGTTTGAGTCCCGGACCTGGTGACTTGCTTTCTCACTTTCTCTCTCTCTCTTTCATAAAATTAAAATAAATAAAATTAAATAAAAAATAATTATTTTTAAAAATTAGGCAAGATTAAAGAAAGCAGGTGGTGTGGTAGTGAAAGTACAGGACTCTCACAAGGTCAGCTGTGGTTAGAGTCTCAGACCTGACAGCTTGAAAACCACACTGGGTGCATGTGCATACTCAAAATTCCAGGAGAAGAATGGAAGAAAAAACTATTGCAGCATGGCCATCCCTCCCGGGGAGTGATTTCTCACTTTTTTTTT